CCCGAAACTGCCCTTCAAACGCCTCAAACCCCTCAAACCCCTTAAACTGCAGCCTTAGAACCGAGCCTCTGGAACCTGCCACCTAGGCCTGCACCTCTTTTCTTTAGGATTCCGAAGGCAACGCGCCAGGCGACGTCAAGCATTTTAGCTTCAAACGCTTCCGGGAGCCTTGGGAGGGAGCCTCTGGGACCCACAGTCCCCTGAGGCCATTTGGTCGCTCCTTTATATAAGCAGTTGTTCTGTCTTAGGTCCACGACCACCACCATTGGTGTCCACAACAGAACTATGTCCAACTTCGGTTGTTGCCTTCCTAGCCATGCTGCCTTGTCTCACAAAAAAGGGGTCGGCGGCACCAGGGCGGAGCCCTTACAATCCGGGCGCCGGCCATGGGCCCGTGTCCTTGCCGGAGGCCTTCGGTTGGTAACCGAAGGTTATATACGCTCGCCGCCCCTGCCGCCGACCCCCTCCGCCCGACCCCCGCCCGAATCCGGTCGACAGATGTATATGTAATGTATATGTATCTTGCGCTGGATGTTCGAAAAATGTTCAAAAACATCGTTTTTTACAGTGTTTCGTGGCCTTCGGCGTCCACGACAGGGTGCCCGTGGTGTCGGTTACGCGTGCCGCGCGGACAGGCTTAATCGACATTTCGTGGGTGTTGGGCACATGAGTTGCCTTACATATCCCTAACATAGGCCCAAGATAGCCAACATATCCCCAACATATGTCCAACATAGCCTCCAAGATGGCTCAACATAGGGCCAACATAGGCCAACATGGGGCCAACATACGCCAACATAGGCCCAACATAGGCCCAACCTAGGCCAACATAGGCCTAACATAGGCCGACCTAGGCCCAACATAGGCTCAACATGGGCCCAAGATGCGCCCAACATAGACCACATGGGCTCAACTTGGCCCAACCTAGGGCCAAGATGCGCACCAGATAGCTTAACTTTGCTCAATAGGAGAGGGAAAGAGAGAGAGTGAGAGAGAGGGAGAGGGAAAGCGAAAGCGAGAGAGAGGGAGAGAGAGAGAGGCAAAGACAGCGAAGACGGAGACAGAGAAGACCGAGACAGAGACAGAGAAGACAGAGACAGAGACTGACAGAGAAAGAGACAGAGACAGAGACAGGGACAGAGACCGACAGCGAGAGAGAGAGAGAGAGGGAGAGGGAGAGGGAGAGAGGATCCAGTGCGCGGACTCTAACCCAAATTGGCCGGCGCCCGGCTGTCAGGCGTAAGCCTCATAAATCCGGGCGCCGGCCACGCGCACGTTCCCTTGCCGGAGGCCTTCGGTTGGTAACCGAAGGTTATATACGCTCGCCGCCCCGCCGCCGACCCTTTTGTTCGACCGCGGGGATACCTCCGCCCGACCCCGTGTCGACCCCCGGTCGACCCCCGCCCAAATCTGGTCGACAGATTTATATGTATCTTGCGCAGGATGTTCAAAAAATGTTCAAAAACATCGTGCTTTACAGTGTTTCGTGGCTTTCGGCGTCCACGACTTTCGCCTAACAGGGCGCCGGTGGTGTCGGTTATGCGTGCCGCGCGGACAAGCTTAATCGACATTTCGTGGGTGTTGGGCACATAAGTTGCCTAACATATCCCCAACATAGACCCAAGATAGCCAACATATGCCCAACATAGCCTCCAAGATGGCTCAACATAGGGCCAACATAGGCCAACATGGGGCCAACATACGCCAACATAGGCCCAACCTAGGCCAACATAGGCCTAACATAGGCCGACCTAGGCCCCAACATAGGCTGAACTTGGGCCCAAGATGCGCCCAACATAGACCACATGGGCTCAACTTGGCCCAACCTAGGACCAAGATGCGCGCCAGATAGCTTAACTTTGCTCAATATAGGCCCCACCAAGTCTCAAAGAGAGAGAGAGAGAGAAAGAGAAAGAGAAAGAGAGAGAGAGAGAGAGGACCCAGCCCTGCACATACCCAAACCCAAATAGGCCGGCGCCCGGCTGTCAGGCGTAAGCCTCATAAATATATACATATGTTCTTTAGGCGTATACATACACCCCGCTCCTTATTATTCTGTGTCTAGCGTCACCGGCTTGTTCCGAGTGGTGCAACTTGGCGTGGCGCGTCGATTCCGATTTGGGGGGACCTGTCCTGAGACTACCAAAACGGCTGTGAAAAGGTGATGGAATTGGTCAGTTGCTGAAAAGACTCGTCAAAACGCGCGGTTCTTTCTGTATAAGTTCTATTTTAGAACATCTTAGAACAGAGGGAAGACTCCAGATCCGACATCCAAAAGGGAGCCTAAGTTCCATGCTAGAATGCCCAATGCCTCACTCTGCCACTTGTAGGCCGGTAGGCCCAGTGCGCTTATAGGATTTTATAGGGATCCGAAACAGGATTTCCTTCACTAACCGCAGTCGGGGCGCCGAAAATACGCTGCAAGTTGAGCTGCAAATACTCCTTCCACGTGCCTGATGCGCCGATGATCCGGTGGCACGTGAACAAAGCCGGATGAAATCACACCGTTTTGATGAAGATTCCCCATCACACCGTTTATCATAGGTCTTTTTGAAGTTGTTACTGTCCTCTACTGTTTGCAGTCGTGCGGTGAGAATGAGCAGACTAGTCCCAGAGCCAAAACACCCCTACCCAGGCCCTACCGCGTCTCAAATTCCTCCCCATGCACATCATCGCATGGTGAACCCTGTCGGTCCCCATTCAGGCAATCCATGCTCCTGCTGACCTTCTTATCCTCACTTTGGATATATCTATGGGCAAGAGTGTGCCGGTTGGCTCGCCTTTCAAGACCACTTGAGAGAAACCAACGAAGTTCGCATAAGTTGACCAAGTGATGTACTTCACATGTCCCATGAGTCCCATACCCCAGTGTTGTAGCTCCCTTTCCGCAAAGGATGCGGCCACCGGAGCCTTCCTTCGGTCCTTCCACCCGAGGCCTTCGGAGTAGCTCTTTGTGACCGCCTCAGTGGAAGTCCGAACTGCCACGGTGTGATGTTGAGGCTAGGGATGATTGAGAAGGATGAGCCAGGAGGAAGCGCCTCACTACCGAACAAATAGGATGCAAAAACCCATTGATATGACGGGAATAGATAGTACAAATACACCTAAGCACTTCTGATACAGTCTACTCCCAGCAATCACAACAAAATGCAATAAACAACGGTACGTACGGCGCCGATGGTGGCCCGTTGGGTTTGGCCAGTCCAGAATTGGAGTCCAAGTTGCGGACATGCCCGAAACCTAGGTGTTGAAATCATTTATGAGTAAATTGGACATGAAAAAATGTCATTGTTTCTAACTTTTTCATCTAGCTTGATGTGGTGTTGCTCTGAGATTTCCATGACTCCACGTCTCCAGCTGGAGAATCCTAATGGAGGACCGAGTGCCAGCTTGCTGACCAAGGCAAATTTCTGGTTCGTGCGAAACACCAGGCTAACAAGTGCTTGCTACCCTTCTTCGATGGCTATAATCTGATATAATGGATGTCCTCATGCACATCACACCCACGGGTTTTTCAACTTATACAAATAAATCCGTGGAATTTAACAAAAACATTGGTGTATATATTAAAGAAAGGGATACTGAATCATTGCGATTGGGTATAATATAAGTGTTTGCTGTTTGATCATATGTGATAGCAATTTTGTAATATCTTGAGACCAGCAAATAGGTGATCAGTGATCACTCAAAAGGTTCCTCAATAAAATGTTGCTTCGGTCGTCCCAAAATTGTGATATATATATATATTATATAATATGTATACTAACTTATACTATGGAATGTTACAGCTGCATACTACCAGCAACACCTAAGACCTAGGAGATCTAGCTTCATTGGCCAACCCAGCACACAACTGACTTCTCCTCATTGATATATGATATGACTCTTTATGACTCCGTAATATGAACATGGAGCAACACCCATTGGGTGGGGGTCGGCCTAGTTAAGAACACCCAATATCTGCACAGGGAGTCCGCCTAACTTCTCTCACTTCTTGCAAGGCACCGTCGACTCGCTCGCCTGTGTTGGACGCAGGCGGCCCCAACTGTTGTGCGGCCGCCTGTTTGTGCGAAGCGGAAGGGTCGGATGGATAGACACGCACACCAAATGAGCGTGTTATTCAACAACCGAGTCTAGATGATTCTTCTGAACGGCTTCACGGGAGTCAGGATTGAACCCTCCCGCCTTGTTAAATTGATTTCTCTCTGCAAGAAAAAAGGGACATTGATTGATTTCCCTTTCGTGCCATTTTGGAGACCCCTTGAAGCCCCAGATTAAATCGGTTCATCTGCTTCCTGATATTTATTAGCCTTTGTGGAGCCCCGTTCATGCGTCTAATTGATTTAGCTTCCTAACTTCTCATCCGATTACAGAAATTTACAAATAGGTCACTTGTATATATATGCATGTGCTCAACCTCTTCCTAACTCCACCCCCACAAAAGACTTTTGCTCTGCTGGTACATGGTTGGCTCATGCCTCTGGCCCTTGCCTGTTCGCCGAAGACACTCGATCGACCAATCCGAGAACTCACCCCAGAAATTCCTTCACAATGTGTGCTTGTACAACGCGGCCAGAAAAGCCTCTAACCTAGTAGCGATGGCCTCCAACCTAATAGCGATGGCGTCCAACCTACTAGCGATGGCCTCCAACAAAAACGTGTATTCTTTCAAGCTCACAAAGTGGGTGCCCAGAAAGCACCTATTAATCAATACTGTATCAATCACACACCCAATTAATTTGGCACATTCCATCTCCAAAAAACGATTGTCTTTGAGTTGAGCTCCTTTGATTCTTCCTTTGGATTTTTTGTGTGTCAGTGATTCCTTGCCGTGCCCCTTTTGTATCGTTCGATGTTCTTTTGAAATTTGTCTGAAGTCCGTTTGATTCCTCTGATTCTTCCCTGTTCCTGCCTTTAGAGCTTGTGTTGACTCTTTTTGATACTCGCAATACTCTTGCTTAGATCCTTTTCTGAACTGCAGATTCCTTTTGGCTTCCCTTGGCTAGATTCCTTCTTATTCCCATTGCTTTCGATTCTTCAAGGGATGACCCTCAAACGCTTCCTCCTAAACCTTTTCGTCCTGCAGAGTCATCCCTGTGTCAAAGAGAAGAGAAAATGGACTTTCAGGGACCCATCCAATGCGTGTTACTAGTAGCTTCTTGTTACTACTAGTAAGGCACTTGTTACTAGTAGCGATGCACTTGTTACTAGTAGCTTCTTGTTGCTACTAGTCGCAGTTTGTCAGCTAAAATGACACGAGCTCACGACCTCTTTACTTTTTGGGCCGTTGGAAAGCTGAAGTCCTCGCCCCAACTCCCTCCAACTCCCAAGGCCTCCCCGTCAAGGGTCTGTGAATTGACAGGGACGCCCTGGGAGCCGTGGCGAGGCTGCACGCAAAGCTTGCTGAGAGGCCCAGTGCTGTGAGCGACCTGAAGCAGCCAGGAGCGATGAGTCAATGGGTTCTAAACGTGTTAATTACTTCTCAAACAACTGAATGTCTCAGTCCACACTTTGGTTCATCAACCTCTTGTCCAGTCCACCAAAGGTGCAAATGAATGTCCACACTTTGGGCCCTGGTGGTTTGCATTGGGCCCCCCATGGGTCCCACTGAACACCGTCGAAATTCCACCCAGCACGGCTCATCGGACCCTTTTTCTTCGGACAAGGAGCAGCAGCTTGAGAAGGTGTGGGGACCGCGCCATGGCTGGAACCCCAGGTGGAGGAGAGATGAATCCAGTTTGGAACCAAAAAGAATTCTTGGAGACCAGCAACCAACAGGGGTTCTGTTTTCCCTCGCCACAAAATGGAGATGTCCTAAATGTCCACTTTTGAGACAAACCAAGGACATCGTGCTTATCGTGCTTTGAGACCAGGTTTGCGTGTATTTGATGGAACTTCCAGCTGGCTATGAGATGAGTCTCATTCTTCCGCAGCTGACGAAAGGGTGGTTTGGCCAGGCAGTGTCACATAGCAATTCTTGCAGGAATGCTGAAGTTCCACCATGGAGCATGAGCTTCTTTGTGTCAGTGTCTGTTCGCCAAGCTTGAACTTATAGGAGAATCTTGGTTGTGCGATCCAGCTGCCTTTCATCGAGCCCAAGACCAAATGCGACAGAAAGGAAACCAACGGACCAACGGACCTGCGACCTGCGGAATCCAAGTATCTCCAAGGTTCGGGGGCTCCTAGATCCACCCAGATGAAATGGTATGATGCTGGTACATACAGCGAGTTATATATATTTACACCCGGGAAGTTTACATGGAACCTGAAAATTGACCTTTGGAATATTACTTTCCTCTACAAACCCGTGGTTTTCAGGTTCCATGTTAATCTTCCAGAGTGTATGTGTTGCATCAATTCCTTTAAGCCGGCTCGGTCTTCCTTTTGCAATGCCATGTGTGTGTGTAGCCTCAATTGGAGCAAATGAACTGATCAGTGTCAGTTGACTGCACAAACGAGAGGAATTCAGCTCATCCTGCGGCACGGTGAGGACAGCCACCCAAAAAAGATCTTAAGGCTTAAAACATCCTAAAATGCATCCCTGGCCTATACTTTCGAATTTGTGAGAGGCTAGTTTGATTTGGGGAAGTGTAGCTGTAGATTCAGAACTCTCTGTGCAACCCGACACTATGGTCTTTAGCAACTGAAGTCTGATTCTTTCATGTACAGTCGAGTAGCATGGTGGACATCGTTTGGCTGGTTTGCATACTCCAAGGAGCTGAGCTTCATTCAAACAATGGGGTACCAGAGGGGTACCGGGCCCTGCCATGAAGCTCATCAGGGAGGTACATAGACCCATGATTCTCCCTGAACCTTTAGACTCTGTATTTCTTCTACTCAACTCAGTACCAACAAACATCTGATAGCTACTTGAAAGTCCTCAGCAGCCGCTTGATGAGCAGTCAGGGGCTTTGTTTGACTTCGCCATCGAAGCCGCTTGACCAAAAACGGGGCGCTTGATTCAGGCGAACGCTCCAAAGTATGCGTTGGGTGCGCTGTTCATGAATGTTCACCATGTTCGCTCATCATGTGTGGGTAGGTGTGTCTTTGAATGGGGCAGATAGACTACTACTTCGACCTTGAACGGGAGTTCTCAGGAATTCACTAATGGACATTTCAAACTCCTTAAAGAGTCACACGATGATCTGTGCTTCTTGCGCCAACACCTGCATCAAGCAGTTCAGGTGCCCACCAAACTGAACTTCGACTCTGTGCAGCTCAGTCTATTGGGAAAAAAAACAGTGACAGAATGAGTCTGAAGCAATGTCGCAGCCTTGCAAGCACCCTGAAGTTTCACTATGTGGGCTCGACTACAAGTGAAGAATTCATGCATGGAAAGCGCCTCATGTCTATACTAAATATTACATATTTAAAGTTGTACTGTATAATTTGTATAATTATAATACATAGTGTATTTTACATTAAGAAACATGGCAATTCGGAACATCTCTCTTTGTTTTTTAGCCCTATGTCACCATGTTGTCGATTTGCACATCAAGCGTTCAACAGTGTGATGTTTCTCCAGAGTTGGCCATGTACTTGTTGGTTACGCAAGGCCACAACATGCCAATTCCTTCGAACAGCGAAGACGCTCCTGTAGAGCTCTTCAACATCTGATGCACCAAAAGCATCTGCTCGTGGATCGTAAGGGCTCTATCACTTGTGCAGTTGTACCTGTCAAAAATAGAAGGAAACACCTAGGTTGATCAGCTCTCGTTATCTTCATTCTCTGATGGAGACATTCAAAAAGGCCCAAACAGTATGTTCTTGGGTCATCCAAGCTCTCTCTCAGGTCACCAGCAAATGCAACTGGTGGACTCACTGGAGTAGGGAGATATTGGAGCTGATGCTGGAGCCTGGGGCAATGTTTTCGCGAAGTCCGAAGTCTGAAAACCTGCGTTCCCAGGAAAGACCGACACTCAGCACTGTCTAGACACTCTGATTCGATACTCTCTTTCCTTGACACTTTGACAAAGGACCTTGACACCTTTGCTGTGTTCGCGTCCTGGCTGCAAGCTCAAGGGGTGTGTGGAGATCTTGGACCTGTCCTTGTGGAGAGATGTTCGTTAAAAGGGCGGGAGTCTGACGTCTGAGCCCCCAAAGGTCGGCCTCCAGCTCAGATCACCAGTGATGACCAGTGATGACCAGGAAAAAGACAAATGGGATTGCTGTGTTCAACGCCACCAGGTCATGCAGTTTGCCCTGCCTGGCAAAGACCATGGAGTATGACCTGGCCATTGCGAAGGCTTCGGGTAATGAAGATGACACAAGGTCCAGCAGCAGCGGGGCTCTGACACACTAGTATCTCAAAAGGAAGGTAAACACCAAAGTCTGTTACTTATGTGTCATGAGTGATTCTTGTTCCCTGAGTTCATGCAGCAAGTTTGCATGTGCAAAATGTTAATGTTGACATTGTCGACTGTATTCTTCTTGGCTATTGGCTTGAAACTTTCCTCATGTCCGGATCGTGGCTCCAACGCATCACACTCATGACTCATACTATGCTTGTGTTCGCGTGCCTCGTCATGAATGACACCTGTGCACCCATGAATATGTATATATATATAATATATATATATATATCCCCAAACGCCTGAGGGCACCCTCTGCCAACCTCTTTGCGCAACCTCGCTGCCAACCCCCGAAGCCTCGCTCCGGCGGCGTCGGGGCGCGGCCCGGCGCGTCGTCCACGCCGAAGAGGCGCCGGAGCTCGGAGGGCTCCTCGCCCGGAGTCCGGTCTGAGAAGTGATGACACCGAGGTGATGTTCTTGACGTCTTAGCAAGACTTCAAGACTAAAAAATGGAAAAGAAGAGCTTGGAGGCTGAACTCCAGAATCTGGCTGAGCATGGATGAACGGATGCTTTCGGCGTGTGGCACGTCTCCTCCGGAAGCTTGAAGTCATCTGGATTTTGTTCATCCTGAAGCTCTCCCAACCTGACCAAAGCAAACGGTGGGTCAAGATCATTCACGACATGTAGACTTAGAGAGTCCCAGTATCCTTAGTATTCCTTAGTTCCACGATGACATGAAATGGAGATGTACAAGAAAGAACAGAGCAAAAGCTCTTTGGCTCAAGGGATCTTTGTCGTTCATTACATTGGGTGCATGAACAGGAACAAACAAGAACCATTGCGTTTCCTTGGCTGCGAAACGGTGTACACCAGTGCCAAAGGCATCAGGTCCAGCTCCAACGCCGGCTCTCTAGATCTGGTGCAGTCCTCTTCGTTTGGGGGTGTCTCGGAGCCGATGCAAATTGCCGACCTTGTTCCTAGTAGGAGTGCCAGGAGCTACTAGTAACTTCTTGCTACTACAGGAGTAGTAAGGTGCCTTGTTACTAGTAGCTGTAGCTTCTTGCTACTGGTAGTATCAGCGAATCTCTTCCCATCTTTTCCCTAAATCGTGAATTTCTTCCTTTCAGAATGGCAACTTCCCATCTGCCTGAGACGCTTCGCCCAAGCACTGGTGGCAAAAGCCCAGGACCTCAAGGATGCTGCATGGCATAGCTATGGTTTGCTTTGTTGTGCAAGTGCCGGATCCAGCGACCATCGGACCCGAGCAGCCTCTTTCGTGGGATACCCATCATCATACCCATATTTGGCCTCGGTCCATAGTCTGTCTCCGGAGGATTGAACTTTGTTCCGCACATCCAAATGGAATTATCAAAAAACTGAAAAGTCCAAATGGATCACGAGCCTCCAGTACTGGAGACTTGCTACGAGTACTTCCAACAGGTCCACATGCTCGGACATGGGGGGTGCCCAAGGGTACCGGTACCGTGCAAGCTCCCTGGATTAATATCGATATTAATCTGCTATACCTTCACATACATTTCAAGTATTAATCCAGGGACTCATGCCATAGGTGGATTAATTTATTAATCAAACAGGATTAAAAAAATAGTCCAGGTACCCCACAGACATAGTTACAAGTGGTCGCCTGTCGGCGAATGTCGTGTGCAAATGTTCTATAGCGCATTTTCCTGACCCAGCGATTGTTATCTACATGATTGAAATTTTTGCCTACCCCTTGTTTTCTGCTCACTGCAAAAGCTACCATCACTCTTGCATGTCTGCACAGAAAATTAATCTGAGTATGTAGTGGAGTATACCCATCAATCAAGTCATCTTGCGAAAAAATAATCCTAAAGAAGTAATCGAACAAAAATAATCCGCGATGTGACGTACTACCCTAGATTAGTTTCACAAGGTACCCCCCATGCTCGGACTAGTTCATTGCAGACTTGAGCAAGCGCACACCATGCCTTGCTTCAAAAGCCACTCGGAGGGGAATGTCGGAGTGATCGTTTCAATTATAGCTTGCAAGTTGCAGCTGGCTTGGGTTAGCCCAGCCGCTTGGCACTCGGTTTTGCAAATGACAATATTGGCCTCTCACCATTGTGGCAATGAGCTGAAAAGCATCGTGGTTGAATCTTGAGAATAGCTTATTTGTGCTTCCCTCTGACGGTTTAAATTCATCTATTACTGATTCCTACATGGATGTACATGGTACATCCACTCTCCCCGTCCTCAACCGTTATGGTCCTCACTCCGACTCACTAACATGGAAGTGGAAACCCTGTTTGCCATAAACATGACACCGCAGTCTCTTTGGGCCACCTCCTTCACTGCTTGGTGCCAGACTTGGCAGCGATGGGCTCCTAGAAAAAAGGGGACCAGCGAAAAGCTGACGGGATGATGAGATGATGAGATCGAGACGGACCCACCAAAACCTCGACGCGATTGGTAACTGACGTAGTGGAACTCTGT